GGAGGAGGAGGAGAAGGAGGAGGAGGAGGAGCCCAGCACAGCTCACCACGACGCGGCCGAGCCCATCCCTCCAGCAGAGCTCCAGGCCCAGACGATGCTGGTTTCTCCGCTGCCCGACCAAGCGGAGCAGACATCGGATGAGCAGCCACCTGCGGAGGAGGAAGAACCGGACGGTGACAGCCCTCCCCCAGCCGCAGACAAGGAGCACCCCCAGGCCGAGCCATCGAGGCCAAGCTCTGTACCGGAGCAGGGAGGTTTTCCAGAGATGATTAAAGAAAGCCCAGAGGTGGATGATCTCTCTGCAAAGGTGCCAGCAGACATCATGAAAGACTCAGATATTTTGGAAATCGTCGAGCAAGCCCTGGAGTTCAACCAGGAGCTGATGATGGGGGTGAGGGCGGCCGAGGGTGGGCAGCGGGATCCCAGCGGGACCAAGCTCCCCGGGGACGCCGGGGAAGACTCCTCACCCGCCTCGTCCAGCGAGGAGGAGCCGACAGTGCAGGAGGCACCAGTGGACGCAGCACCGGGGACGGAGGGTCCCGTTCAGGCTGAGAATGGGCTGCACCGGCAGGCCAGCTTGGAGGATCTGGCCGAATTCACCGAGGAGGTGCTGAACGGCATTGCCAGCGTGCCGCCGGCACAGGAGTTCCCTGCAGAGACTACAGACCCCACCACGGTGATGCCACTGCAGCCCGCAGCTCCTGGAGATGCCACTGCCACCAAGCTGGCTGATGTCACCCCGTGGGGCAAGCACGGCGGAGCCGACGCCGTCCTCGTACCGTCCCCTTTGGGGGACGATGTCCTGTGCCTCGTGCCCGACCAGCCGCCGGCATGTCGGCTGAGAGCCGAGCAGGAGCCCTGGTCCTCGGGGGACGAGTGATGGCAGCGGCCGGGGACCCGTTTAGTAGCCCCCCTGCAGCCAAAACCCAGCACCCTCACATCACCCACCCACCCACCTAACGCCTCTCCATCTCCTTACAATTTTTTAACATGTTTGTGTGGATTTTTTGCACCCCTTTTCAGAGTGAAGAACCACCAAGCTCAGTTCCCGCCCGCCCCAGCCCCCCCAAATTCTCATGCTTGCTCTGGGACCCCAGCCTCATTTTGTGTGCCCTCTGGGTGGGTTGCTGTGGCTGTATTTAATTTAAACCCCATGTTTCCTCCTTCCCTGCGATCTCCCTGCTTCAACCCCCACCCCCCAGCGCATCTGCCCCAGGAAGCCCAGATGGAGGCT